ATACTAACATTCCGTTTGGTGCTAAACTGCTCTAGATTAAGAAAGACTAAGTGCGGGTTGTGCTTAGTAGGTCGGAAATGGGGTAGTTAACCCTATATTTCGATTTAATTGAGTAATAAAATGATTGCATTCTAGGAAAAAAACACTAGTTAACACATTACATTATTTAATAATTGGCACTGATGATTTCGTTCGTCAATTGTTGATTGTTAGCACCTCGAACAATCAGTTCCTGAATTCTACAATTTCATTTTTAATTTATAAATGAGTGTTAATTTATAAAAATTATAAAACTTACGCTTGAAAACATGAAGAAGCCTGGTAATTCCAACTCGTCCAACAACGACGAAAGGACACTTTCTTTTATCGCCATTTTTCCATTACGAATACGACAAGAAATTGTTCATACCATGAAATGAAATCACGAAAAACTTACTTGAATTTCACTTAACCTTTACCAGCATGACATGTGGACTGGTCCAGTGAATCCAGTGGAATTTATTACCATGTCATTGCATTTTATGTGCGGCACGTGAACCTTATTGAATTCCTATTTTGAAGAGGTTACCTGAATTACCTTTACCGTTGGTTCAATGTATGATGTCAAAACATGGTCTAGGAAAATTTTCAAGCTCTCGACATTTGTTCAAAATCTTTGACACCCGGTAGCTTTAGTATTTGTCCAAACATCGAGAAAAAAATCATGTCACAGATTCTTGAGTTCCTTTTTAAGTCCATTAAATTGTATTGTATTTTTCCATACTAAAAAAATAATCCTAAAATGTATTCCTAAATCTCTAATTTTTCACGATCGAGATTTTAAGTCCTAGACGCATTCAATTTTGTTTTATGTCCGTGATCATTCTATCTGGGAAAATTTTCCTCGTGCCATAATAATGAGATTTTTTCTTAAACTGTGATCTAGAAAAGTTGTCTAGATCACAGAGTTATGATTCTTTTTCTATGTGTTATGTGAGGTGTTACAGAAGATTCTATTCTTGGGAGGAATGAAAAATACCCAGTTCGTTATAGCGACTACAAAGAAGAGAAGGATCTTTTATTAATATACTCATGGCTAACTTAGATCTATATACATTTAATTCTAGACTGCTGTTCTTCATGTTGCTAAATGCATCGGAAGGATATGTATGATCCTAGATCTTCAAAAATTGATGTCCTAAAATTGTAAAAAAAATTCTAAAATCGGTACTTTGAACATTTTTCTCTGTGCCTCAATTTCGCAATCTAATAACAAATTCGTGATCTGCAGAGTGAGGAAATGAAGGTTAGAATTGGACTGTGCTCTTGCTTATTCAATTCATACTTATTTTTTTTCATAACAAATTTATGTGATCCTTAAATCAAACTCAAATTTGTTTTATTGTTAAAAAGTATGAAAAATACCGGAACTGATCCATATCTTTACGATCAATAAATGTCACTACTGGTCACCTTTTTAATGGTTTAAAGATCACTATTTGGTCACTACTTTCGTGATTTTAGTCACTAAAGTCACTACTATTACATCGCATACCCACTACCAGCCCTGCACTTGATGGAATGCCTGTTTAATGTCCAGAGTTGTGAAGAATTTCGCGTTTCGGAATCTTGGAAAGAAGTCATCGATGATTGGAAGTGGGTGATTCAATCTTTGAATAGCAAGGTTAGTTCTGCGCATATCTACACAAAGTGGAAGCTCCCCGTTTTCCTTGAGAATCGGTACAAGAGGGGATACCCAAGACGTAGGGCGTATCACTTTCTCTATTATACCAAGATCCAGGAGTTCATCCAATTTTGACTTAAGCTTTTGGAGTAGTGGAATAGGACATCGCCGCAACGGTTGTATGATTGGTGGAACACTTCTATCCACAGGAAGGCTCAGTTTGATTCCTTTCATCTTAGGAAACGGTTTCTTTGATGTGTCTACACGACCAATCGAGTCATGTTGCGCACTAGGTAAGCCGATTCCCAATACCCCTAGTTGTTGCGCAGTAATTTTTCCCAAAAGGGGCTGTGTCCCTTCTCAATTATGTAAAAAGATGTCTCAGTTTTCAATATTTGCCCACCATCAACAACTTCCAAGGCTGCATCAAAAGCCGTCACAAGCTTTAATTAATTTTTCCATAGGCCAGAAACTATTTATTACTATCAGATCTTTGATTAGTCACTTTTACGTCTCTTAGTTTCATCAGTTCCCAAGTGGTGTCGTCTATCAAATTGTGTTTGGAGCCAGAATCAATTAACATGACCGCATCTACATCACCAACGCGGCATGTAATCAGCTCATCGTCTCCTTCACCCACATTGTAAACAAGCAGATATTCATGTTCTGTTGGCTCCTGTTCATGTTCTTCGACATTGAAAACATTTCGATGTCGTTTACTGGAGTACGAAGAATCTTGGAAATTAACGAAAGGTGATTTTGGCTTTCCAAAAGCAACCTAGACAAATTCATTGTATTTATTATACTTCTCAAGCAGTTACCACATTTTTTCATACCTGGCTGGTCATCGGTTTTGAACTCAACCTACAAACTGACTGAAAGTAACCTGTCTTTTGACATTTTAAACATTTTAAAATATTTCGTCCAGGAAAAAAAAAATAAAAAAAATATATGAAAATGATAATTCTGCACACTAAGTTTTTTCTACCGAGCTCGGCTGTGCAAATCTCGGCAAAAAAAATTTACTGAGATCTCAGTAAACATTTCATTTGTTTGCTGAGATTCAGATAAGCATTATCCGAGACTCAGCAATCAAATGTCACTTTTGCTGAGATCTCATGTCGTTTTCGTTTTTGCGGTGTAGCTACACCGGTGCTACACTGCCGAACACCGAAAAAATTTAGGGTGTAGCTATCGGTTGCACCTTTGTTTACAAACAAATGATGATGAACTGTCAATGACTCGCACTTATTGCTGCTTACACGGTAAGAAAAAATACTCAAAATTAAGTTAAAAAAAACTCAACGTTGGGTTCTATCATTTGAGGTCCGCCGTTGAGTGAATCAGAAAAGCGGCGTTGGTTAAAATTTACTCAACTATTGAGTAATAATAAATTAACTCAAATATAAGTTTATTTTGATTGAGGTTGCTTTTATGCGCCTTTAACCATTTAATCTTCACAAGCGTTGATAGACGAGTGGTCAACACACGGGCCCCGTAATCTCAACGTCCATGGTTCGGTTCCAGTCTGCCCCGCTTTATTATTTTTTTGTCAACTTGGTCAACGCCAGGATTACTCAAAATTGAGTTTTCTTCTTTAACTTAATTTTACCTAGCCCCACGGAAGCCACGTGATGAGTGAAAGGAACTCAATTTTGGGTACTTTTTTCTTACCGTGTACACTACACCGGTGTAGTGTAGTAAAAACGAAAACGACATCAGTGAACCTTATTTTTACCGAGATTTGCACAGCCGAGCTCGGTAAAAAAAAAGTGTGTGTATTCAGCTGCTGATACCTTTCGCCATATAGGCTATTACCAGACAACATATCAAGAAGACTGGCAACTTTGTCTGAATTCAAGCGACAGACACAGAAGCGACAGACACAGAAGCGTCGCGCTCGAGCGAAGGTGGAAGCAACGCATAGAAAAATGAGCAAATACACAAACCTTTATTCTGAGGATGGAACCTTTGCTATCCAATTCGTTCGGAGCATTTACCTTTGAGCGACAGATGACGCGATTCTGTCTGTCTCATATCGGACGTAAGGGAAATTGGAAGAGTTTCCAGTCTGGTTGGTATGTTGTCTTCGCTATTACGTAGCTGCAAAAATTTAAAATTTAATTTTAAACATTGATGTCACATGTCTTTTAACATAAAATACATTTGAAATCAACCTGAGTTTACGTTTATATTTACCTCAAATATTTTAATTTCGGTGATAGTTTTCTCTTTGTGATTTTTCTAGCGCTTTTCTCAAAACACAGTTTTACATAAAAAAATAACTAAAAACCTTCTGCAAAGGAACGGGTTACAACTGCAAACACTAGTTTTAACGTTCTCAATAGGGAAAAGAATTTGTCGAACGTTTTGAAAATATCTTGTAAAATCGAGATTCAATGAGCAATTGCAGTTACAATTGTAAGTTTTTATGATTTTTCTTACCATAATCATTGTTATCGGCGCTATCCGACATATTCGGCGGAATAACAGTGTTCTTTATTGGGCAAGCTGAATATTCGGCCAAATAAAAATTTGACTGATATTCGGTGCATCTCTAGTTCCCGTACTTTCTTTTATTGCTTTTGCGGTAAGTTGCCGGGAACATACTTTTGCTTTACACAGGTAGCAGCTTGGGTTGCTCATTAGAATAAAAGATAGCTCGCACAATGGAAGTGTAATGATGTTCAAACATTAGACTATAGCAGAGGTGCGTCCACCTTCAATGATGTGGGTGGGACAAGGTTCTATGGTTTCATTTTCATAGACCGGACCGGAAATCGAACCCAGCCACCTCCAGCATAATCTTGCTATGTAGCTGCGCCTTTACCGATTGAGCTAAGGGAGGCCCCAACATGTTCTGGTTTGTAAATGCCTTGAAACTAAAAGCGGGCTGAAATGAATAAAAGTTTAAAAAAGTTAAAACCCATCATGTGACACATCAAATGACATGAGAATTCAAAAACCAGTCCAATGGTAGTAATATTCAGAGTACAGGACTATAATGGCCACACCCGGCTATGATCCGGGAATCCCCGGCCCCAGTTTCTAGCAGGGTCAAAATCCATCAGCGTTACCTCAAATCATACGAGATTTCATCTATCTTTTCTCATCGAATGAACACTTTAGTCGGACTTTCTATAAGTAAAGTGGTTCAGATTTTATCATTGGAGGATTCATTCAGTTTTTTAACTATGTTCTCTATTAAATCGTGGGTGGGACAAAGCTTTGACTGTCCCATCCAGGTATATTTGTGCGTAGGACATGTCCCACTTGTATCACCCACTCATCGCGCCTCTGGTATCTATTGACTATAATTGTACTTTCTAATTTCTAGTTAACGAGGAGCTACTATGTTTGGATGATTCTTTGATCAAAATACTTGCTTACCAACGGTTGCAACAAATACTGGCTCAAAGCAGCGAAGTGTTACAAAAACCATCATCCGAATTTTCGGCAAGGACTATCCGCGAATTAATGAAATCAGAGAAACCGGCAAAGTCAACTCCTCTGCCTAGTCAGTTGTTGACAAAAGATGATATTGAGCGTATAGCAAGAGAATTTACGAGTCCAAGAAGAGACTACAACGCAGCAGAGACCGTCAATGCTGCTGGAGTTGTTTCCCCGACCAAGGTAGAGCCAAAGGAAGAGAAGAAATCGCAGAAGGAACCGGAAACAAACGAACAGAAAATATTCCTGATGGCTCAAAATCTGGAAAAACACGTTAATAACATCGATATTCGTGTCCGCGCTGTAGTAACTCCAGTGGATGTCAATTTACCTGGCTGCAGCTGGTTTGAAACGCTGGATCTGTCACGTTCCGTCTTCATGCGATATCGCTCCCTGTCGATTGGAAGCGGACCAGGCAACGATCTACAACTTTCGAAGTTTGGTTCCTGCCGATTTGTTTCAGATAAACACGCTACTATATTCTATGACGAGGTTTGTAGTTTTCACATATCTACGTAACAAACAACATCGGCACACTATATTTTCTTTTCGTCTTTCAAAGGTAACAAAAATGTTCGAGTTATTAAACTATTCAGAATTTGGAACCGTAGTAAACGGTCAACTGTTCACGTGTGACTTTACTGACCACTCGCTTGATGTAAAGCCTGAACCTGATAGTGGCCATCATTCTTCGAAAAAATCGAAGAAAGATGAACATGACGATATCAACAAGGACAAAAGGATGGACAAACAAAAAATCCGCCAGGATATTATAAATCTGATTGACATGTCGCGGCAGTGCAAACGAAGAAATTACGATTTTCTCTCATCCACAAGGTAATCAAATTCAAATTGCGGCATTACCATAGTTTTTGCTTGATGGTATATTTCTTCTGCATGGAGGCGAACCAGCCTAAGGCTGAAAGCCTCCTAAATGAAGCTAAATAATAATAATAATAATATTTCTTCTGCAGCATGGCAGATATATCGCAGACTGGGTGCGATTGCACCAATCCAAATCCGAAAATTTCAGGATGGGAGGGCACAGCCATTCTTTACCAAGGAGCTGTTTTAAAGTTTGGATGCTTATCAGTTGTTTTCACCATCACTAACTATGATAACAATACAGAAGAATTTGACGACACAGACGGATCGTCAGAGGACGATGAAGGAGAAGAAAAATAGAAATAAGATTATCTCACATGTTTTTTTTTGTATTCAACAACATATTTAGTATCTAGTTCTAATGTATTTTTGTATATTGTTAACAGTAATAACTTTGAGCGTTTCCTAACGTTGCTTCTCATCCCATTTAATAACATTATCTTCGTATTAGATATTTTTTTGTACTTTATTAATAATACTGTTTTAATTGCATTTTTTTTAAAGTGCAAATAAATAGAGGATGTTTTCGCAGATGAACAAAGTTAGGTGACGTATTTTTGGCTTTTTGCGGTTAAGTGACATAATAACTATAATTCCAAGATACAACAATAAAAGTTAATACTAAAATTGATCTATTCTTTTTATCGTAGTTTTTTTTTTAGCCGTATTATTATCGAAAGGTCTGACCTTGGAGGATCCACCAAATGTTTGTCTAGGGTCGTATTAATTAACACAGACGTCAACATCAACGCAGCCCGATATTCTTGATCGGGATTTAATTCTAGGATATTAGAGCAGTTCCAAGAGAAGGTCCTGATAAAGCTGAAATTTGACACGAGCATTTCCGATTTAAATGAAACTTTGTCAATGTTTTCGACAGGAGGAAACATGAATTTTACACAGATTGTTCGGCCATTTTGGCTCAAGGGTCATTTTTTAAAAGGGTGTATGTGTTTTCATGAGTTGGGGAAAGTGAGGCAATATGGCCAATGGGTCAATGTGGCCACCCAGTTAAAAATGAACTTATTAAACATATTTTACAAAAAATCTGCTGCTGGCATAATGCTTGAAGCCTACTTGAACTATTAGTCTAGAACTAGAACTAGTCTAAAAAGTTACTTTTCTCTAGTGCAAATATTCTAAAAATGTAAGACTAGCTCAAAATGTCGAAACTGTTAAAAGATTTCTAGATCAGAAAATAAGGTCTATCAGTAGTTTCTTATAACTTATCGTTGATATTCCTTCAGCAGCTTTATAAATGGTAATTGAAATTCTTATATGACACGATGTTTAGGGTGCTCACTTTATCCCAACGGTTTAATTTCTGTTACAAAACAAAGCTTTTGGAAATCTTCTTTCATAACATTCAAAAGTTTACTTTTAAAATTCAATTTGTATTCATGATGTAAATAGGTCTTGATACTATCCATTTGGTTAAACATCATTCGAATTTTCCACTAAATTTCGTATTGATTGACCACATGGCAACACTACTACCAACAATCAATACGAAACTAATGATTTTAAATTGGCTCACCACTTTAGTAGCCTATTGGTCCCAAGCAAACGATTAACGTACCCTATTCTAGTCGAAATTCTAGTACTACGCAATGTTTGTTTTGATTCGCTATGAAAGTTTGACAGATAAAATGAGAGGTTATTGGTTTTTCCTATGTTTCGAGGGGTGATTCGACAAGCTTGGGACCGAAGATAGTACCAGAGGTGAGCCAAAAAATTGAGCACGTTTCTTTGGGACCTACTTGTCTTAGAGTTACCTCTATGCTAGTATGGGGTACGTTAATCGTTTGCTTGGGACCAATAGGCTAGTTAAGTAGTGAGCCAATTTAAAATCGTTAGTTTCGTATTGATTGTTGGTGTAGCGCCGGTGTAGCTACACCGCAAAAACGAAAACGACATCAGTAAAATTTTGGTTTGTTAGATGAATCTCGGCAAGTTTTCATTGAGTTCCAGTCAAATAAAATGCCGAGCTAGTCGGCGGTGTCAATCTCGGCAAAAAAACCAAGTGTGTAAACAATGTATGTAGATGTGGCCGGAACATTTTCCGGTTTGTATGAGCCATCTGAGACTAAATCCGACATGAAACGAATAAAATCCATTATGTGACGCATAATCAAATGACATGAGCATTCAAAACCCAGTTCAATTGTAGCCATTTTGTGTGATCAGGACCACACTGGCTACATCTTGGCATGTTCCGAGAAAGTGACCAGTTTCTGACTAGGTAATCTAGTAAATCAGTTGACAAAACATAATGAATATCTAAATTATGTTCAATCTTCTTATTCTATTTACAAATTGAGGCGTCAATATACCAAAATCGAACGCGGATTCAACCGATGCAAACAAAGGAACTACTGGAGATATAGGCTGGTTATAACCATACAGAGTACGATGAAATCCCGGCTGCATCAGGGATCGCTGACGTAAATAATATACTACCTGAAGCACGGAAGTCAATTAGCGATAGAAGATAGGAGCAAACATATTCAATCTTGATCGCGATGATGAAACGCATACACCCGAAAAATTACCCGGAATCCATCCACAAAATGTTTAGCTCAAAAAGCTCTTTCCAAACATTTTCCCTTCAGCTAATATTCCATCAAATTATATATTTTTGCGTTGCTAGCACTTTCATTACCGCTGCCATCTTCCGGTCATTCAGTCCAATCAAGCTCAAGCACTGCATCACAGAACAGATAGGTAACTCAGAACAAACGGTTTCATCTGAAACTGAGCTCATGCTTTTCATGTAATTTTTGCTATTCCTTTCTATTTTCATTTCGCAGTGCACATCAGAGCTGCCAGGTGGTTTTATAAAAAATCTGTATCCACTCTATTAAAAAATCTGTATTTTCTGTATTGACGATTTTTTTCTTAATTAATCATGTTTTGTTGTTTTACAAATACAGTGCATACAAAATAACCATAAAAAGTGCTTAACCACCTATTCGGGCTATCGTACTAACCATACGGGATATAATTGCGCCATTTGTGATATCTTTTTTTTTTTTTTTAATTCTTTATTTAAGAGATTTTTAGTCTTAGGCTAGTTCATCTCTAGATTTGTGATATCGTCCGTACTTATTTATAAGAGTGATATGAAGCCGTTTGAAAATGTATGGAGATTTTAGTTTCTATTCATTATCTTCCTGATAAGCAGTTTTAAATGCAAAAAAGTGCACGAGTTCATTACTATTTGATATTTTTAATATAGATGAATACAATTAATTACATCATTTGTGTGGTAGTTACACCGAAAAGTCGAGAGATGTCGCCCCGCCTGTGCTGGTAAAATCATTTTTGCAGTATGGAGAATATCAGAAAATCCGCAATTTCTTACGAAATACATTTTCAATGCAAGTAAAATGTTTACGAGTACTTGTATTTGTACCATTTTAATGTGCTCGGGCACTTTTCTTGTATTTAACATACATGCTTATATTGGAAATATTCAATTAATATTGTAAATCTCCATACAATCTCAAATCGTTTACTACCAGCTCCATATGCATCCGAAAGCGGTTGGTTCTCTGGTTGTGAATGCTGTCAAAAACACCATAACATGATTAATTGTCGATGGAAATTTGATAGGCTCCCGAGCAGAGGGTGAGAACAAAATAAAAACAAGAATTATGTTGTTTTCATTATTCCTGATAACTCAAATTGATTTCATTTTGATGTAGTTGATGGCTAACAGAACAAAAATGAGAGCTAAAAGATATGCGAAGAATATCAAAATTATAACATATATTGATATAAGTGAGAACTGCGACAAGGCGCCACTGAGTTGCCTATATCGAGTGTAGTGTCCCACTAACTGCTACCAGGAGGACTGAAAGAACAAAAGAGACGGCATGTTACTATATGCTACATGACTGATAAGCTCGTATTCGCTTTCCCTCTCATAAATCGTAAACAATGGGGTCATCCGTCGTGAATGGAACGATTTTTTTCTACGACGAAATGCATTATGATTTCACTTTTTCTGGACGACGGTTTTTACGCATAAAAAGTAAAAGACGGAAGATGTTTTGCTTTTTAACACAAACGCACACGGCCATGAGAAATGCAATTGGAGTAAAGAGAGTTTCCCTGCCATTCCTTCGACATATCCTCTCACAACCCAAGATATTTTCTAATCCTATAGGTAGAGCGATCTGCATGTGTATTGAATATAGTTTTGAGAATTCAGGATGAATGAAAGATTGGATATTTTTAAATTAGGGGGAATGTCAGCTTCGGCACTTCTTTCCCTTTTATCGCAACGGGGGTAAATGAAGTCTTAGAGTGTTAATTGTTTGCAGAACAATACATTGGAACATGATGCAAATAAATACCCGCTGATGATAATATTTCCTATCGTTAAACTTTGGATATGTCTTATTCTAATTGTGTTTTTGAATATCAAAGTGTACGGAATTATGATAATCGTACTAGAATTAGCAAAACAATCATAAATACAGTTTTTCTTTTATGTGATCGTCTCACTCCACAATTAGCATTTTACTTACCCTTTGCTTTTGCAGGAAGCATTGATGAAATCTGTGGGTAGGAAGTGATCTGAGCTGTCAAAGACTCGTGCTTATTCCTGCTTACACTACACCAGTGCTGCACCGCAAAAACGAAAACGACATAAGCTCAGAGCATGCAATAAGCTTATATGCAATAAGCAATAAGTTTAAATTCGAAGAAGAAGAAGAAGAACTCAAAACAAGCATATAATCTAAAAAATAAATAAGATTTTCTCATCTTTCCTAAAGACACTCTATACATAAGCACCAACAGAAGTGTACACACCTTTCAATATATGAATCTTGGGTATGTTTGGTATAAATGGTAAAAGGTAGAGTCGGTGTATAATGAGTCACGCCAAGAGAAAAACAGTTGAACTCGCATCACGGTTTTCGAAAGATTCCCTTTCTTTTAACTTGGCAACAGAGGACTTCTGCATCAACTTCAAATGACTTCTAGCGAGGAAAAAAATTAACGGCTGTAGTAAATCATTATATCAGTGATTTTGTCGAATTATCTTAAGGAAAAATAGTAGAAATTGTCATTACTGATCATTACAACACGTATCGCATGACAAATGTAATACTCACTGCGTGTATATGATCATTTCTTCGGTTATATTTAATATTTAATTGCAATACCTTTCGTGGACCTTTCATAGCATCGTAATGCTTGTTTACTTTGCACGATAGGTAGCCGGTTTGACAGTTCAATAGGTAGACTTGGCTTCACTCTTGGCGTGACTCATTATACACCGACTCTAGTAAAAGGTGGTATAAGTGTAAATAAATTTTGAGTGTAAAAAGCGTTCTCTCCACCGCTAGGTGTCACTAGCAATTGAAATTTAAATGGCTCCGTTTCTGATTCCCATGTTACCTATCTGTTCTGTGACTGCATGACAAGTTCGATGGCATATATATTTTTTCAAGAACACATTACCGTGTAGTGCTGGGATTTTGTGTACCAAAATACTTGTTTAAGTACTAAACTAGTATTGTGGCTTGTCAAATTTATGATTTAAAAACGGGAATGAAAAATATGAAAAATCGCATCGGTCGTTTTGCCCCGGTGTGCATTTTGGGCTGTATTCCCCTACGTGCCGTGATGCGAATCGATACCACCCCTTCATTGCTGCCCATAACAGTTTATCCACAGATAAAGAGCCATAATACTTCTCATCCAACACACATTCAACGAACAATTGAAATGTTTCTTAGTTGCCAATTCCTTTGCGTTTGACGTTTACACACTGCTGGCATCTTATGTGTACTGCCCGTCGCAGTGTACTCAACAGATGGTGATAGTAATTTAGCTACGATGTTTTACAGTGAGAAATGTTCAATGTGTTATGTCTGTTTGTCTCTGGCTTATCGATAATTGTTGATTTTGTTTTATTTGGCTTCTTCAAATAATAATTGATCAACTATGTACTAAAATGTAATCTATTTATTTTTCCCCATGACTGGTTCATCTCGCCTTCTACTTATTTACAGATTTGTTTAATAGGCATAATATGCCTAGAAACATGCATCATTACAAATTTACAGCATGTTTCAGTGAGCCATGCTTCAGCCAAGAGTTCGGATTTGCTCCCCTGATGTCACCATCAAGGTTGTTCGAGTAAATATCGGTGGTCAACTCAGGCAAACCTATCTCGGTATCGGCCTTAGCTGCCTTTGTAGCGTCATCTACCTCCTTCTTGATCTCAGCGTCAATTTTCTGCAATTTAAAATTGAATAAAAATATCAATTTCGTCAAGCATAGTATCAGAGCAATCAAACCTTGAGATCATCTGCTGTAACCAACCCTGCATTGATAATTTTATCCTTGAAGGAAGAGATTGGATCCCGAGTTTGACGAACTTCTTGAATTTCATCGCGTGTACGGTAACTAGTTCCTGGATCTGACATTGAATGCCCAGAATATCTACAAAAAAGTAACAGAAATTATGTATTTTGTATAATCAATCGAACTTACGACTGTACCTGTATGTAACCACTTCCATCACCACTGGTCCATGATTCAAAACGTAGTCGATAGCAAAGTCGGTTGCCAATTTGACTGCAACAACATCCATTCCATCAACCCAAATTCCTGGCAAAGCGTCTCCTCGTTGGTAGTAGTTTACGTTGCTTGAAGAACGTTTAGCGCTGGTACCCATTCCTACAAGAACTCAGTCGTTTTATTTATGAGAATTTGATAATTTGATATTATTACCATATCCATTATTCTCACAAACAAAAATGCAAGGAAGTTTCCACAGGTGTGCCATATTATAAGCTTCGAAGACCTGTCCTTGATTTGAAGCACCATCTCCGTACAATGCAAGGCAAACACCATTGTTGCCTTTGTACTGGCAAGCCAAAGCGACCCCAGCACCCAGTGGAACTTGGGCACCGACAATACCATTGCCACCGTAAAAATTAGGAGCATACATGTGCATGGAGCCACCTTTTCCACGTGCGCACCCACCCTGTTTTCCGGTAAGCTCCGATAGAACACCTTTGACGCTTACTCCCATCAAGTTCGTCCAACCATGAACACGGTAGGCCGATATGATATTATCTTGGGGACGCATGGCCGCTTTCATTCCAACGGCACATGCCTCTTGTCCCGAATACAGGTGACAAAATCCTCGGACAATTTTCTCTTTGTACAAATTACCAGCGGAGGTTTCCAATCGACGAATGACTTGCATTGATCTGTAGTATGAGATGGCTTCATCTTTCGTTACCGTTGCAGATGTCGGTGGACCTGTCGTTAGATTGTGCAACTTGAATGGCTGGAAACATACATAACGGTAAAAAAAAAACAATATAATTTTTTTTATGTAACTATATAGGGTGTCCCAGAAAACATAAATATAGCAAATGTGTACAGACATAACTCTCGCATGTTGTTCATCGATTACGCATTTAACTTTTTATTACTAATTTATTTGTTGGTAATACGGCCGCCTGCGCGCCGCATAGTTAATTCCATTACGTTTAACGTTTACACACTGCCACCGTCTGTTGATGTTAGCGGTGCCGGTGGTGTAGTGGTAAGCGTGATTATCTTTCACCCCAAAAGGCCTGGGTTCAATCCCAGTCGGCGCCGGCGGGATTTTCTGAGGCATAACATCTCTGATCACTCCTTCCTTAGGAAGGGAAGTAAAGCCGTTGGTCTCCGCTCTATGAGTTGATGGGTCGATATGTAGGATCGAGGTGTGGTGGAAGCTGCCTCCCTGGCGTCGATAGCATTGGTACTCAGTACAGAAAACAAGATCAACGGAAAAAGAATCAAGGAAAAAAAACATCGGTTTCCTCTGTAAATTTTGATCTGACCATGATGCAAGAAATCCATGGAATACCAGATCACCATCGGTCGATGGTTGTTCCCTCAATTTTTGCAATCAAGTACTACCAAGATTTTTCACAGATGGGTCAACCATAAATGCTTCCACTGGATTTGGTGTATTTAATCAATTTCATAGCGCCTCCTATAAACTGCAGAAACCATGCTCCGTATACGTTGCGGAACTCGCAGCTATATTTTACGCAGTAGAGCGAATTGCCTCACTACCTTCTGACAATTATTTAATTTTTACGGATAGTCTTAGCCTTTAACTCATTGGAGGCTATTCGCTCAATGAGGCCGATGAAGCACTCTTCGTATTTCCTGCCTGAAATACGGTCTAAACTGAGTGCTTTATCTAACTGCTCCTATACCAGCACCTTAGTTTGGGTCCCATCTCATTGATCAATTCCGGGTAATGCGAAAGCGGACTCATTGGCTAAGATGGGCGCTATGGAAGGCGATATTTTTGAGCGACAAATCGCCTTCAACGAATTTTTCTAAATTGCTCGTCAGCAAGTCCTCATCAGTTGACAACAAAAATGGAATGATGGTGATTTGGGAAGATGGTTACATTCTATTCTCCCACAGGTGTCGAACAAACCGTGGTTCAAAGGGTTGGACATGAGCCGCTACTTTATACGCATTATATCAAGGCTTATGGCCATTCACTGCTCGTTAGACTCGCACTTATATCGAATTGGGCTCTCAGGCAGCAATTTATGTGCGTGTGGTAGTGGTTATCACTATATCGAGCATGTTGTTTGGTCATGTACCTTACACCGTGTTGCCAGATCTGAGTTATCCACATCCCTCAGGGCCCGAGGAAAACAACCCGCGATACCCGTTAGAGATGTCTTGGCGAGCCGAGATCTCGACTATTTGAATTTAATTTATGTGTTTTTAAAACGGATAGATCTGAGGATTTAGTAGTTAGTGTCTTCTTGTGTTCTCCCATGTTGTTAGCTGCCCATCGGTGTACCCCCCATGTTTGTCTTTTTCATCAGAGTGTCGCTTAGTTCGAGATCAAGAGCACATTGCTCTACAAACCTTGTGTTCACAATCCCTACCCTGCCATCCATTTGTTACAATTTGTTATCCCTAACCTCGAGGTAGCCGCGAGTAATCGGCTCCCGCTTTAGTAACGTTAGTTTTAAGTAATTGTGTGATCTAAACAATGAATATCGGCTCCGCAAAGCTACAGTAAATGAGCCTGGAAAAATAAACGCATTGTAAAAACAAACATCGGTCGTACTGCCCGTCACAGTGTACCCAAGAGATGGCTGTTGCGTTTGCAACCGCTTGACGAACCCCTTGAAATGTGTGATATTATTGTGTGTTTGTTAATCGTTCTTCGGGGTTTTCTCGGACACGCAGTATTGCAGACGGTGCAGTTAACAGTGTTTACCATACCGTCTGTTGTTTCACCGGTTTCAACAGACCGCCATTTCACAGTAAGGTGATTCACAAAACCTGAACCAAATATTGAAAGGCTACTTTGATATCACGCTACTTTGATATCACGTTTGTCTTTAAGACACAGAGAACAGACGTTGAGATTTTTATTCGACTTAAGCGCCACCAACGCCGATTTTTCCACTTAGAAACCCTCTTTGATAACATGATGGCACTGGCGTTGCACAACTTACACTAGACACTAAGTGCCGGTAGCGCCGAGTGGTAATTTTCAACCGAAAATTTAACGTTACTAGCGCCAAATTGGTCGAAAGTCGAAAATTTATAGAGGAAATCAGGAGATGTTAGCGCCACGTAACGGCGACGTTCCCACTTATCTTTACACAAGGTTCTGGTGGAAGTTGGACGTCTGTTCTCTGTGTTTTAGATGAGCCGTTTTGTGCAGTTTATAGGACTCTATACTGTAATGCACCGAATACCGGACGGTCCGTTAATCAGGAAATTTTGTTTTTTATTAATACTCGCGCAACATTTGGAGGACTGGAACAGGGGCAAATAGGCGCACAGGGGGTATGGTGGATCGAGCAGGTGGAAGGCGACCTGTGGAGCCTTCACAGACCTGGTGACGTGCAGCCATGGATCGAGTAGAAAGGAGACGATTTATGTGTACAGCAAAGGACACCCATGCCTTATGGCCCACACGCAATGTGGACGGAAGCGGAACGGCAGCGGCATGGATTGACAGTTGTCATAAATGACGTCAATATGTCTAACCGAAGTCAAGTTTTTAACTAGATTCCTATCCTAGTTTCCTACTCTTTATGACTTTTAATACTAGTACATTTGTTGAGATCCCCAACTTAGATAACTTTCCTAGATCCCGGACTAGAAAGATTCTAGATTAAAAACCATTTTTAAGATCCTAAACATGGTCAAAATTGTAAATAATGATGGAAATTTTGTTAACTTCAGATGCTCGTAAAAAGATAAAATTTAGCTAAGATTTTTCTATATCCTGAGATTTAAAGAATAAACAAATAAAACATAGGTGAATTCAAGCTTCATGCTTCAATGGCTTTTTTTTACCTTAGGAATTAAAAAAAAACACAATTTTTTCATGAACTCTAACTTGGAAAATAATGGGGATCTCGAATTAATATTTATGTTTTAAATTACTCTAAAATTAAAGTTTAAAGCCTTATGGACATGATTGACGGATTCCTACTACGTTTTATTTTCAGTGACACTTATATCAATCGATCAAATCTGAAAATTAAACTTGGGGCTTGCTTTTCTGACCCCAAATCAGCATCGATCCTAACATGAAATAGATCAAATCAAACCGAATCAGTTAATACATCACAACGAGTTAACAACAGGAACGGAAAATGAATCACTCCACTCATAATTAATCACGAAAATAAACGAAATTTAACGTGTCCATTGCTATGATCATATTTCAAAACGTAACTGTATCGTAAACACTAATTCGCCGATATATTAAAACTTGTTCGAATGCGGACGATTAAGCTGAGTGCGAATTTTAATATGTATAGCAAGGTAGGAAGAGATTCTCGGTGCAGCAGGGAATTAGTGATAGCAAGATTAAATTAGTATTTAGAAACAGAGAAAAGTTGTAACGGGTACCATATTTCTGAATTCATTTTTCATCAATATTTGTTAGGAACATGAATTTAAAATAAATCTCATAAATAATCACCGCAGTCGTTGAGTGAATTCTATTAGTAAGTAATGAATTCGAGAGTGAAGTAGATATCCACCACTTTTCATAATGAAATCGTAAATGAGTTCTAGTTCAGTAGTGAGAGCCGGGGTGGTATTGATGTCCAATTGCTGCAAGCAGGCGGTAGGTTTCTCAATCATCGTTTAGCGCGTACGTACATCGACCCGGTACAGATCCTTTGATGATTTGTTAACCTTTCTCGAATTTCTCTCCTATCCCTGAATTTTGAGCCGAGCAGCGAATTGGATGATTGGAGTTGTTTGTTAGAGCAAGATGCCGATAGCGGGGGATGCAATTGATGAGAGAATGAGAACAATTTTCGTTGTATCACGAATATCTAACTTCGTTAGATTTACGTAGTTCCGGTGCCGAAGATTACGATAATGCGTTTAATCTGAGGATTCCCAAGAATTTATCGATCACTTTGGACTGATCAGTGGAAGAGGCAGGAGTGGTCCACCCGTTATCTTGTGCCGTGGTGTGTTTAGTAAGGTAGAAGTGACATGAGGTTCTTTCTAATTAGTGAAACTTAAGAATCCTTTCCCATTAGTTATTTCGATAGGCATTATTCGTTCCGAGCAGTGTGTGAAGCGTGTGTAGTGATTTTGGAGGAAGAAGGTAAAACTGGTGACAATTTCTGGTTTGTGCGATAGAGGCTTAACACGTGCTTGTGCACCGGTTTTTCTTTATACAGATTCGTGGCGAAGGATGTGCACGCCCGACACACCACTCATTCAGCTAGTGACCATTTCTGACCCCACCATCGGTTTTGAAGGTAACCCGGGGTACGCCGGAAGAGGGCCGTTAGAAACGCGCCCTAGGCAGGGCGAAACGGCCACATTAGTAACAAAACCCGCGATCATCTTTTTGGGGACGACCAAAGCGCGATCAGCGATCGTACCGCGTCACACAAGCCACGAGTCGACGCTAAGTAGCATCGGGAGTTTCTAAACCGACCAACGCGTTCATCTGCAGCATTTTCCACCTGTATCCGTGAAGGAAAGGCACCGGATGATTCACCGCCAACCCCTTCCGTTCATCCACCGCATCGCCGTCATCTGTATTGCAGCATAAATGGTCCGTGAGTACTGAATAAAACCTTGTGAAATGTTTCGTCCATGCGCATGTTGACTTGAAACTTGAGAGCCCGCAACCGTAGCACTTTTCCGGTCTTGCAAGGCGTACACATTCTAACCGTTTGCACGTGAACCCAAATGAGAGCCGTTTGAACACGCACAGGAGGATGAAACATACCTGAACATAACCCAACACACACACGCTCGATAGACAGGTAGATAAAGAGGGAAAGGTAGAGGCAATTAGGCAGTAGGTAGACAAAGCAAACAAAATGAACAGAACATGAACTTTCGCGCCTGTAAGTAGACTAGACAATAAACATTATGGAATAAAGCTCTCTTTGGTTTTGGATAGGCAAATATGCAATAAAGTCCTGTAATTTCGTTATGCTTAAAAAAAAGGTTGTTATAGATCTGCCTTGATGAGATAGAAGTGAATCTGTTTGGAAGATTTTCATGTCACCGGTCTTTTTTTTCCCGCTGTAGTTTTTTCTCTTTTGAGGTTTTTACTGGAGAGGTTGGCTCGGAAACCAACTGAAAAACTTCCAAATCTGACACGGGTTGTCTCAGGGTGAAAGTAGAGTCTTGGCATGTGATGATAACCACTCGCATTGGTTAATCTTGGCCCGGGCGTTTTATTGGCAGCATTTTCTCCTCAGTTGCATTTACTTCACTATTTGTGACATACTTTTTCTAATCGAATAGCTCTAGTCAGCCAACTCGCTTTCCGCCCAAAATTTGGGAAAAATAGGAACCTAATCCTGCAAGGTCTCATACGGTCGGGCAACCTCAAAATTGGTAAATGGTCTCCCTCGGGAGTGGCGCTTAAGCCATTTTACTTTCAACGGAATGCTCGTCAGGCTGACGGGTTACAAAGTTACCCGCGCATCCACATGAGAAGAATCTCTACGAGATTATTATGAAGCTGGTTAAGTGGGAGGGGATGCAATGACCCCATTTTCCAGAATCAATCATAATTGAACATTATCAGAACAAATCGTTAAACATCTCATAACAGACGGTGAAACAATCCACGGTAGCACACGATTTTTTGCAAAGGCATAACAGCACAACAACCCGTCGGGCGTCAGTCTTTCAAATACTGCTAGAAAATCCTAAGTTCAATCCGCGCATTTTTAAAACAAGTTAACATCTAGATAAAATTCATAAACAGCAGATTTTTAACGATGGGCCCAATTTTAGATCCATAGGCCAACATTAGAGCCATTTCCCCTAGTATGTTTTACATATTTTACAAATATGTTAAAAAATCTTGTTTTTCGTCTGAATGAAAAGGCACTCAAACAATCACTTATTAAATGTATTTCCGATATAGCCATCATGAATTCAATGTTGTCTTCTTATTGCTTATGATGTTTCTGATTATATATTCATTCAAAATTTCATATTTCTTGAACTAAATTGTTTGAGATTCACGTATTTTTTTTTTATTCATCGAGTATTACCCCAAAACAAAAAAACTCATGTTCGGTCACAAGACAATAAAAATAGTGCAAACTCCACAATATCCGTTGAACATATTACTAACAAATTGACTCTAAGATCCTCAGTACTTGTTAAAAAAAAAGAATATTTGAAAAAAACATTAATTGTTTGTAAAACACTGCAAGAAACACTGTAATAAAACTATCAAATTTACCACGTTTCACGATACGTAGATGTATTGCAATGTCTGCTTATGAAAAAAAGACCAAGCTGTTCTGATGATCAACCCAGTTGTTCTATGGTCTAACCCAGAGGACACTACCTAAAACTAAACGTCTTGATCGCTGATTTGCTTCGACTCAACGGAAAGCGTAAGTTTCGTGGTGTGACTCTGCCAGAAAAGAGTCTGTCGAATGGAAGGCGGTTTAAGGTTCATGGACAAGTATTCAACCGTTAGCAGAGCAAGCACTGAAATGACTCATCGACGTAGGATGAGTTGCTTCACATTAAGTAGTTCGCCAGATGTGGTCCCGAGAAAATAAGAAGTAGAAAATAAACTGAATGAAAAAAGGTCCTTAAATTCGATGGGTTCTTTCAATGAATGGGTTAACGGATCATCTCAGCTGTCATGCACTAATAATTCATTATTCACACTATCTAGAATCATACATTATTATAAAGCATTGGAGAATAAATCTTGCTTCTGCCTGTAAGATTATAGTCTCCTCAAGAGTTTTCCATAAGATAAAAGGATCACCTACCTTCGTTTCGAATTTTGCTTCAGTTGCATAATTTTTTGCACTTCTCAATGGTGTCTGAAATAAATTCATTCTATGTAGATCCGTTTTAGCGAGGAATAGAACGATCCTACCTTTTTTAAAAGACCCGGCAATTCCACCACGACCGTGCGAAACATTTTGCAATAAAATTAAGTGATAACGATGTAATAAAATTACTCCCGTTAAGTATTAAAATGATACAGAAAAATGATGCACCAGATAAGCTTGACTTTGACGTGCAACTGCAAGCAAATGAAAAACTAGTGCTACGGTATGCATGTCAACTACTACGACATATTAGAACTGCACACATCTATATGCTGCACACTAAAAACGCACATGTTGCAGTTTAAGTATACCTTTGTGGTGCTTGGTGTTGACGTCAGTTGAGTTGCTACAGATGGTGAGTACCATATGTTCCAGTCTTGAAAATGATGGTGTTGAGCATTACGGTACTAGGCCTAGTCCCTCAACAAATATATCCTTTTCAGCAATAAATCCCAATTTTATTGACACAAATAGTTCACTACTCAATAAAATTGTGTAAATTGTGTAATGAGACGAATTGAGTACATTTCCTGCTCTTTTTTCAATGAAAAACTGATGCGCTATTTGTGTTTCGTTTTTTTGCCTTCGCTTTGCAACGCCATTTTCTCTCGTTGTTCGGTGCTCGCTAGAAGAACAACAAGTTTTTCGGATTTTAGTACGCCTTTTGATAAGTGAAATTACTACTAAAATGAAGAAAATTGTGTTGCGTATAACAGCGACTCAGAGCGATTTGTAAAAAAAAACTCCCATTTTAAGGACTATTTTCGAGGGGTCGATGCTACATCAGGTTACACCCATTGTTGGTGATTTTATTAACTGATACGTCCTTTTCCCCTTCATGTAGGTAAGAAAAATAGTTCAAATCGAGAGCATTACTGGTTTTCTTATATATGTTTTGGAAAAAGCGAGCAAATTGGTTACAAATATCCTCACTATCAATGTTATCAAACTCTTGAAACTGCACGCGCGATGGGAATGTACATGATTTCATTTTTTCTTTCGCGAAGTTAAAGAACGTTTCGGGATCAGATTTTATATTGTTCTCTACTCTTGAATTGTAATTTTCATATGCTGACGATATTTCTGCATCAAGTGCTCTGCAAATATCAACGTATTTTTCTAAATTAAGGGAAGTTTTAAACTTTTATACGACTTGTGTGCTTTTTGCTTCCTGTTTTTAATATTTCTGATATCTTGTGTATACCACACAGGATATTTGGTGCTGTTCACTATTCTCTTTAGTCTTTTAGGAACGAACTGAGAAGTTCCCTGAACTGTAAACTGTAACGACTCAGCTCTTTAATCTTAAATATTGTGTACCTTCCGCAGCTCTCAAATTTTAAAAGTAGCGTTGAAGACACTGTGCAGACATTTCGTTAATCTCGTTGAAGATTTTTTTCTAAATTCACATGGCTTCCCTGGCTTAAGATGGAACCTGTATAATCTTTCATTGCTATGATGATCTACTTGATAATTGAACTGTAACTTGACAGAGATAGGGATTCTCGATGATAGTAAGAATATATGTAAATTTTTGGAACAGGGACTGCAGAGCTGGAAATCGATATTCGACCGAGGGGAGCGACACATAAATTTCAATTCTACACGCAAACCAAAAATCTATTACAATGAATGTTAGTTCCGTTTCCTATCATCCTCTGTTCATGAACATCGCAACGAATGTTAGAAATTGACCATGCAGGCGGATGTAATGGTTTTTTGTCTTTTTTTATTTCGTGGTCCATCTACGCTTTCGACTATACCAGTAAGCTTGTAGAACGACGCACATTGTAGAACATTGTAGAACGACGCACACACTTGTCTCGAATCTCTCCAGCAGAAAAAGCATACGAAGTCGAGCATGCGAGAAAATGAGCGCTTCATCTTTGCTTTTAAGCTAACCATATTCAGAAGCATGGAGAGAGCAGTGGAGAAAGCACAGGTCTGATAGTCGCAACGTCCGTGGTTCGAGTCCAGTCGGCAACCTTTTTTCTATTTTTTTCGACATAATTTCACTCACTAATACACTCCACATTTTTCGGTCTCCAATTTTCTTACATCGGACCGCAGCTAGGTATATCGCATCCTCGTTTCATGCGGTCTCCACTAACATCCTCTGATGATGAAACACACATAATTGTAAGCGAATCTTACATCCCCCGGTTGGGTGTAGATGCTCAACAAATCTCACACTCGCGAATCAATCTTCGAAAAATCTTCTTTCATTTATCGCATCTACTTGCATCGCGCATAATATTTTTGCAAGAAATCTTCAGAATCGTCATCAATCTTCTTTCTATCTACTCAGCGTGTGCGCAGCAAAGCACAACAAAACACAATTTTCCCTGCATCGTAGATAGACGACCCTCGTATTCGACACCATTTTGGGACTCGAGATGGCGAGTTCTGTTTCCTTAAAGTGTTAGATAGCCTTACTCTATGGATAGGGATGTTTTTGGGACTTTGGGACAAGTGTGGAGACCGGAAATCGATGATTTGGTATGCGGTTTCCGAAAATGTTTCATATCCTAACAAAATGACACATTGTTAGCATTGATTGATCTCATTTTGTTAGTTAGGTCTGGTGTCATTTTCGTAACTAACATTGTCGCCGCCAAAAGCTACTTTCTTCTCCGGTTAGGGAGAGTCTTTCGCTTACTAGGCCAGACACTGTTTCTCGATTCTAGGAGCTACTTTTGACGTAGGACTACGTCTTTGATTTCTATATGGGGGTACACTTTGTGAAAACTGAAAATGGAACATGTAACAAATTATGAAAGATTTTGAACGTTAATAATTCAATAGCCCCTTGTCCAATTTCAATAATTTTATGACCAATCGATCAGAAATATGGCTACGCATCGATAATAATGCTTCCGAATGTTGATTTTCAACAAGAAACTATTGAAAAACTGGTAAATGTTCAGCATTGTCCAAAAGCGTCGAATTAACTAACAAATCCACCAATTACCTACATGCATATGCTGCTTCCCCAGCACAGTCGTCAGAGAGTAGTAAGTAGACGAATCAAGTCGAATTGGCATTCGCCTCCGATCCTCGGGCGCGTGCGAATAGGGAGGATGAAATTGCGTAATATTTTGCACACTCATCGCCATATTCAGAACCACACGCTCCCAACGACCACACAAAATGCTCTCCAGAGTTGTAATCTTGTAACCAAACTTGGAAAAAAATTATCCCATAGAGGATTAACATTTTGCATATTCTGCATAAAAAATACATAAAAATTCTAAAAAATCAAAAAATACAATTTAACTAAAATTTCTAGGAAAAACTCAAAATCTCGAAATCAACCCCGGGTCAGAAAGCGAACGCATGAACGTACATTTTTGAGAGCATGTTTTTTAACTCGTACACGGAATAGTTTTGCTCCGTTACTGATTGCATAGAATCCACAGAACAAACTTAGCCGATCTAAATCTGAATTTTAAAAGTTCACTTAAATAACTCTCTTATGGAATCTTTGTAGTGGCCCTGAAAAGGGCCGGTTTTGTAGATTTTCGACGGGAAAATTAAGCGCGTTCACCACGGATACGATGTTTGTGACACGCTTGGCGTGGATGACACACAGGTTGGTATCTTCGAACAGACCGACCAGATAAGCCTCGCTAGCTTCCTGTAGAGCCATAACAGCTTAGCTCTGGAAGCGCAGATCGGTCTTGAAGTCCTGGGCAATTTCACGCACCAGACGCTAGAAAGGCAACTTGCAGTTCGGTCGATTTCTGATAACGACGGATCTCACGCAGAGCGACGATACCTGGCCGGTAGCGATGAGGCTTCTTTACTCCTCCGGTAGCTGGAGCGCTTTTGCGAACGGCTTTCATTGCCTACTGCTTGCGAGGAGCCTTTCCTCCAGTGGACTTGCGAGCGGTCTGCTTGCGAGCCATTTTCCATGGGTACGATGTGGAGTCGATGAAAGCAAACTGTAGAATAAAAAAAAACGACTTCCATTCTTTTTTATAACATGCGTTTGCTGATTTCAACCAATCAGAAACGATGAAAGAATAAGAACACAACAACTAACAAGAAGAATTTAACCCTCGAGTAGGTTTAAAAAAGCCGAAATTTGAAATTTTTGTTCACTTTCGTTTCAACCTTCACCGACGACACATCTACCATCATATACAATGACTGGACGCGGCAAGCGAGGAAAAGGACTCGGCAAGGAGGAGCCAAGCGTCATCGAAAAGTGCTGCGTGATAACATTCAAGGCATTACTAAACCTGCCAGCCGCCGTCTGGCTCGTCGTGGTGGAGTCAAGCGAATTTCCGGGCTTATTTACGAGGAAACCAGAGGCGTGTTGAAGGTGGTTTTGGAGAACGTTATTCGAGATGCTGTTACTTACACAGAACACGCTAAGAGGAAGACCGTCACCGCAATGGATGTCGTTTACGCTCTGAAGTGACAGGGACGCACTCTGTACGGTTTCGGAGGATAAATTAGCATCATCGGCTCAGACAAAAAAACGGCCCTGTTCAGGGCCACCAAATGAATTAAAAAGGTGTTTTTGATTAACTTTCTTGTCAGGATTTGAAAGGTGGTAGGGATGTGATCGAATGATGATTTTTTTCAGTTTAAGGTTGTTAGATTTAACCTACACAGAGAAAAAAAATTACCCTAAATTTAAGTTCTTTTTACTTAATTTTGGGTAATTTTGAGTTTTGCATCCTACTCTCACTTTTTGTTCACGAAATTTAAAAAAAAAAGCGAAAAGAGGTCAGGTTTCGACCAATAGCAGATAGATTTTAATTCTAAACAAGCCAAACGATTGGAAATTTATCTACCAATCTGCTAAAATGAACACTTAGTTAATTTTCAATAGGTCACTATTGAAAAATACTAAATGTCCAGCAATGGTGATCAAAATTATCACCGAATGACTGAAAACAGCGCATTCCCTAAAACAGACTTAAAAATCGAATTCGATGCGGTCCCACTGAACGGTGCTCATTCAATCACCGTAAGTGGTGGTCAGCGTTGCCAGGTTGCCAGATTTATCTGGCACAGCCAGAGAAATTTAAGCTCTGCCAGACAGATTTTTTGAGAAATCTGGCAGCTTCCTATGTTAATTTGCTGTGCCAGATTTTTGCCAGACATTTTTTTCGGGTTTTGCCAGATTTTTTCAATATAAGCCTGGCATCTCTGGTGGTGGTGTCCAGTCCAGCAGCAGCAGTAGTAGTAGCAGCAGCAGCAG